TGCACGAATAGAGACTTGGGGCTACTACCACATACAAACACCATTCACGTGCGATGTGTAGTTTTTGCGGAAAAGTGAAATATAGGGACATACACGTCCATTTATATATATATATATATATTATTAACTGGGGAATATGCGATGCTGCAACTTTGAGGATATGGAATCGAATCTGGGCGAGCAACTCCAGGAATTTTCGCAGATCCTTGTATCGCATTATCTGGCTGCCCAATTATGGGCCTGGACGAACCAAATAGAACTTAAAAAACTTCCTTTCTTAGTGCTCACAAGGCGGGAAGTGACAAAAATGAAAAACAGAAATATTGCTAATTGGTGGTAATGATTATTAAAAGTATTTAAAACTGAATAAAACAATTTTACATGTAATTGCTTAAAATTTATTCGAAATTCTAAAAATATTCATAAGTAGAAATATACAGTACACTTTTTAGTACTTTTTTTAATACAAAAATTCTATTTAAGTTAAAAATAAACTTGTCACAATTTGAACAATATATAGAAATTTGAATATCCTAAAATGTTTCAAAGATTTTAAGTACAATTTTAGGAAATACTTTATTAAAAGAAATTTAAGAAATAATTTAATAGTTTTGTACATACAGTATATGGGTATTTGTACATATATTGGATATTGCACATATATATGGATGTATTTTGTATTTTATTTAATTTGTGATAAAATAAGTATGTAAATTGCATTATTCAACCAATTATAGTTTTCTTTGACTACTGGATATTTTGAAATATTATATATATATATTTCATTATATCTATTTGAAAATAACTTTATAAACTAAATTCAAATCTAATATAAAATTAATAAGTAACTTACTTTTTCTTGTAAATCTAATATTCAGTTTTTATTTGTACAAAGAGTGGGAATTTAAATCTAATATTATATTTGCATCCTTGTGATGGATAGAAAATTAGTTATTGAGAAAAACTAAAGAACAGCCTTAAACATTCCAAAGTCGTCTCTTACAGTTTAAAATCTTATTATATTAATTAAAAAATAAATAAATATTCAATATTAATTATAACATTAAATGCTTCAAATATTATTTTAGTATTATCTTAAGATCGATATTTCTTTCTTCGCTTTCCATTCTTGATAAATTAATTTCAAGTAGATTCTCAACTAATTTAATTTAATAAATGACAAGTAATTAATTAATGCCGATTAAATGAAAATAAACAAATTATTTAAACATATTTTGAAATTTTCAAGAAGATTTTAAGTATGACTAACACCAATTATCGAAGATTTTGTTTTATTAATTTAATAGCCGAGAATTATAATGATTCTTTCAAGTAAAATAATATTCAATAAAAACATTTTGAAAAATTAAAACAAAAATATGTTCATGATCTTGTTGAAGAATCAATCCTGTTATACAACAAGATTGACTCATAATAAATGTCTTTAGAACTTTCATATTATTTTTACCTTCTGTAAATATAGAAATAAGCACTTTGATTTAGTAATTTCTGTTATCTCTACTGATCAATAATTAATTGAAAATTATTAAAAATCAAGCCAATCGATTCGTCAGAAGTTTTTTCTAAATATATTCATTCAGCATAAAAATTAAATTAAAAACATTAAAAGTAAAGTTCATGTTATACAAATCTCATATCGAGTTAATAAGACAGAAATAATTATTTATAAAATTATTTTTCAAAATAATTTTAATGCAGTTAATTATGAAATATAAAATAATTATTTGTATTATGCCTTGTCTTATATTTAGAACATCTATAAATTGACATTCATTATTATTGATTTTTAAATGAATTTATTAAAATAGGAATCTCAAACTATTTACAAACTTTTAATACATGAGCTTATATAAAATTTTTAATAACTAATGAAGTGTAACTAATGCTTACCATGTTTGAAAACTGTTGAAAATAATACTGATTGCTTTATAACAAATTAAATTTAATGATTTAAAGTGTTATGTTAAAACTTATTTATATAAATGATATAGTGGTAATCAAATGTTTAACTTCATTATCGTTAAAACTATAATTATCACTTTCCTTTTGTGTAGTTTTATGAGAAAGTTCACTGATGCTACTAAACTTTTAGATAAGATGATCTTGTGTAATTATTTATAATTATATTAAGTAATTTTTTCTGATTAAAATTGTAAATATTTATAGATTTGAATTTTATAAAATTTCAAATAAATTTATTATATTTATACCAGCTTATTAACTTATTATGTAACTGAAATATTTCATTACTTTTATTAGCTTGAGGCATTTTTGACTTAGAAAAATAATTTTGCCCGTTACGGATAAGATTAGATTGAAAGTTTATTTACATGATTTAGATATTAAAATGCGTAAAATATTAAATTTCGATTTCTATCAAATAATATTTTATTAAATATTAAAAATTAAATGTATATATGCATTTGCATGTATAAGTGTGCATCTGTAGAAGAGAATGGAAATAAAATAAACTTCTAGAATGAAATGGTATAAAATTTTGTTAATATTCTGGTAGTTTCATTTTTAATCGAACTTTCCATGACTTTATCATGTTATATGAAAAAGAAATCTGATACATTAGTAATACAGTTGCATTCCAATTAATGGAGAGCGATTTAACTGAGATTCCTCATTGTGGAAGACTAATTTGTTAACAAATACAAAAACACAAAGTACAGTAATGGGTCCAAATATCCGGCAAGCTTCAGATCAGAAGTGGTATGGATTTCTGGATTTTCAGTTTTTCTGAACCCAGACGAAATATGTACTTAAACTGTAAAATAAACAATGGAAAGTAACAAATGAAATTATGTTTAACACATCCTACGCCAGATTCACGCTGGAAGTGCTGTTGTGTAAAGTATAGACTACGGAAACAAAAACAAAGAAGTCACATGGCTAACTACAACTTACTAAATACAGCATATTCAAAAGTAACCAGTTTCAAAAATAGCCGGTTTTCTCATAATTTCGGATTTCTGTAAGCCGAATATTTGCTCCAATGTTGAACATGTAGACCAATACGTTTCACAAATCTTGGGAATAGTGCGCGGTACTCAAAAAATGCTGTAGAACTTTCAAAACAAATATATAAAGAATATAAGAATATACTCTAATGACTCCTGACAAAAATAGAAATGTTAAAAGACATTAAAGAAATCAATTTAATTGTCATAAAACTTTAATTTTACTGGTATTACCATGTTCTGGTATGTTGTCGATCGTTTTGTATTAAATGTTCCGTGTTATCCGCGTTTTGATTATACAACGTACTCTGTCAACATTACCTTGATAGTGCATTTTCGTTATTTTTGCAAATATAGCTGAAACAAAAAAAAAACTTTTTTTATTTTTTTTAAAATTAGATTAATAATTTTAATATTAAGAATAATTAATAATCGGTGTATTTATTTCAATTACAAATTTTGTTAAGTTTTCACTGAATCGCATATTATTCCTTTTTATAATTTATTTTGTATACTAGTACTTTCTATATATTAACAGGACTTATTATACTGGAAAATTATGGATGCAGATATTTAGTCATACAGTTCAAAAATAATGTTCTTTATTTAGTTCACCTGAACACATACACTTCAAACATGTGTTTCGGACTTGTTCGTCCCTCCTCAGCAGGCCTTTTAACGACACTTTCTATAATTAACAATAAAAACATTTTTCGGTACAATTATCACTAAAAATTAAACAAAGAACATAAACATTTCCCGACAATAAAAATTTAAAACTCTTACAATTTCTGTTTTTCCATACTTCACTATATTTCCTCTTAAACTTCCGATCCACAACAACCAGACGATTTTACACATTCCTAATTTTTTACATTAAAATCATTTTAAAACAATAAATTTAATTATTATCTAAAATCATTATTTCAATTACACTTACTTCTTTTAATTTGTCTGTAACTACTTAATTTTATTTTCAATACATTCCTATTACCTCTTTTATATAATACTTTCTCCTCTCTCCTTTTTATAATGCTTAACCATGATTGGTGAATCTCTCTACCATTGTTGTTATTAATTTTGTCAGTTTGTCTAATTATATTTAAATGCTCATACAGTTGTCTTTTATAATTATTTTTTTCCTTTTTTCTAATTTTTACCGTATTTAAATCTATTGCACAACCTTCCGAATTACAATGTTCCGATACTGCCGAATTTGCATATTTTCCTTTGATTGCTCTTATATGTTCACTTAATCTGATTTTTAATTTTCTTTTAGTTTCTCCTATATATGTTTTCCTTGGATTACAATTACAATCAAATGAATATACTATTCCTTTTTCCTCTGTTATATAATATTTTTCTTCTTTTCTGTAACATAATTGTTTTTTAGTTGAATTTATTTTTTCCGGTATTAAGTTGATTCTATTTTTAATTACTTTTTTAATTCTTTCAAATAATTTTGGAACATATGTTAATTTAATAAAATTTTTCTCTTTATCTATTGATTTTGGTTGTTTGTCATTATCTAATTTTTCTAACCATTTTTTATTACACATTTTGGGTAATTATTTAAAATAAACATTTTAATTACTTCTTCTTCTTCTTGTTTTTGTGTTTCCATTTCGCTTGTTCTTTTCTTTATTTTGGTCATATACATTTTAAATATATTATATTTCATACTGACCGGAATCACAGATTTATAGTTAATTATTTTGGGTATTTGCATTGGTTTAACATATTTCTTATAAATTAACCTATTATTTTTCCTTTCTATTGTTATATCTAAATAATTTATACTATTCTTTTGTTCTTTTTCTAATTCAAATTTAATATTCTCTTTTATCTTATTGGTCTTATTTATAATTATATCTTCATTTGTTTTCGTTTTATCAAAAATTATTATGCAATCATCCACATACCTGCTGTAAAATTCAATACCTTCTATATTTTTGATCTTTTCATCTATTTGTATCATTGTTATTTCGGCCAATTTTGGACCTATACATGTACCCATAGGTATTCCTTCTGTTTGGGTGTAGAATTCCTGATCATACTGAAAATAATTATTTTTCATTATTATTAGGCATAATTTAATTATCCAATCTGGTGTATTTATTTTCTTTAAAGAATTTTCTATATCTTCTATTGTTATGCTAGGATACATATTTACAACAACAAGTGATATCAACTTCATATTTTCATTAATTGTTATGTTTTTTAATTTGTTTAATAATTCGTCTACATTTTTTATACTATATTGAGAAACTTCTAATAAATTTAATTTATCCTTTAAATATTTTTCTAAATTGTAATATACGTAATTTTTACATCTATTAAAGGTCTATATTTAGTAGGTTTTTTATGTGTTTTTACCCTTATACTAAATTTCGGTGTTCTGTTATCTTTTCTTTTTATGTAGTTAATGTCTTCTTCAGTTACTTTCTGTTGTATTTTTGAGTTTTTTAATTCCTTGTCTAATGTTTTCATTAGATCATTTACTGGATCTTTGTTGAGCTGTTTATAACTTCCTTCTTGGATTAATTCCTCAATAACTTTCTTTTTCTTTTCTTTTTCCATATTACGTATTACATTTATATCTTAAAAAGTAGATGCTATTAACTTTAGGAGAATTGTAGTGTACTTAAAACACATTTTTCACATAACATCCTGAGGCTCTTTATACTTTAATTTCTATGTAAATATTGAAAAAATTGCTCATCTTTTCATAAAATAGGTTGTTAATAAGGGTTAATGGGTTGAGTAATAACCGAGAAGTAAAAAATCATTGCATTTTAAGACAGATAATAGATTAATCTACAAGTGTACCGTGAATGCATTAATGGTAGGGAATTCGATCCCGGTCCTTATTTCTAATCCCGGGATTTCGGGATTATACTTATTCAATCCCGGGATTATTTCGGTATTGAGGGTTAATAAAAAATAAGAAAATCTTACAGAAATCAAAAATCAAAATTTAGACAAAAATCAACGTATTTTACGGTATACACCTAGTTAATTTAATCACTCTAACTAATCAGACTTAGAGTCAGACTAACCAGACTTAAAATCACTGTTTCATGTTAAATTTATTCTTTTTTAAGCATCACTGAGATCTCTTTAAACTCACATAAATTGAAAAAACCTTTATGTAACAAACTATGCAAATAAACGTTGAAAATTAACAAAAATCTCTCTTAACATCGACTAAATAGACTACTTTCATATAACAACCTAGTAAGTAGGTAGTAAAGTAAGTTTCTTAGCAAAAAGTATTTAAAAATAATATTAATCAGTCACATTTTTCTTAAATATAAAGAAAACTAATCTAATAGGAACATTCTAATTTGAATTGCGAAAATATGATCTGAGAAATAACAACGCATCCAGTGTCTCATCACCAAGTCTGCTTCTCAATTTGTTGCACATATATGCAGCTGCTGAGAAAACGCGTTTAGGTTTGATGGAAGTTGGAGGAATCGTTAGTAAATACTTATAAGCTTCGAGGACACGGGGAGGATGGAAGAAAACAGTCCGGTCGACACGGATCGGGATTGTAGGAGTAAAGGCTACAATCCCGATTGTTTCGATCATTGTAAGCATGTCTTTCTAAAAATAAACGCGTTAATTTTGTAAATTCGGTCTCTGTGTGAGTCTCTCAGCGTCCAGCAAACCACTACCCCGAAACGTAAAAAGACTTTCTCGCATCATCCTGACAGATCGCGGGCAAGGCGAGGGTCGTAACCTTTTCACCTAAGGTCGACCCCCCTAAGCGAGAGGCGTCGGGTCTATATTAACCACACTGGCAAAACAAGATGGCTGACACATTGACAGGTAAAACGCACTGAGTAGTGCTCTCGACTGCGCCAGAAAATCGATTGGCGCCCGCGAAAATTCAAAAATACAAAAATGAAGTATATTACCAAGTAACCCAGTGAGAACTGCTTGCCTATCATTTTAGTTGAAAATACAAGAAGTTTTATTCCAAGCAAGCATCGCAAGCCCGCTAGGTTAATTTCTGCTGCTTGCTTGGAATAAAATTTCTTGTATTTTAT